AACAGTCTATTCGGCGTTGTAGTTGGATTGATGAATTCATTTGTATATCGAGTCGAGTTTAGATGATGAATAAATGATAAGGATGAATTGATGTCCGATGTTATATTCATATCATCGCTAATTGATTTCCTTTAGATCGACGTGAAATCAATCGCAATTTAGCTAAACAATTGAAGGAGAAACTAACTTTTGATACAAATAAGGATACGAATCATTCCGAAGAACAACAACAAGACGAACAGAACGAACGAATTGATTCTTCTTCGACGACCAATAACCATCATGGTAAGTATTGTCTGTTCGATGCGTTCGCTTTCCTTCTCATCAACATCATTGCCAAAAAATGAATAACATACATCAAAATGTTGTCTTTGATTTCGTTATTTCTCTTCTTATTGTTTGATAGGAAGAGAAAATTGAAATCGAAACATGAAATTCGTTCTCTCTTTTTCTTATGTTGGCATGGCAGACACGAAAAATTCTTTAAATAGTAACATCTGAACCTTGATGAAAGAGAAGGACAGAGATAACTTTACTGATATGAACAAGTGCTTGCATTTCCTTATTCTCATTTCTAGATACGGATGCTTTTGGTATGGAAAATATATTTGAACAAATGAGAAGATACAAAGGTAAAAAAAGAACGGAACATAAATGATTGGGATGATGTATTTTCATTTGTATTTGTTGTAGAAGAAGCAGATCAATTGACAGGCGACGAACGAAAACAATTCGCTGAAAAAGTTTGAAACATCGTTGTCTAATCCGATGTTTGATTTCATGTATGTTTAGATCATTTTATCTTTATGGAAAGACTTCGGTGATGAAGACGACGCAAGTGATGAAGATAATCGAGAATAGCGCGCTTATTACTTTTCATTCTGATTTTGTAAAATATTTAAAACGAAAGAAAAACATCAAAACTAGTTCCGATTTGATACAAATAAATTTGAATTATTATTATTCAGAGAAAAAAAAGACGCCGAGATGACAGTTCACTGATATCGTTTATTCGACATGGAAAAATAGAAAAGTTTTAACGATAAGAATATTCATTTGAATATAGTTTTTGATTTACACAATTAACTAACAAATAAAAATATACTCAATGAAACACAAATGCACGTTTCTGCTGTTTAATTCTCTTGATTATCAAATACGTAGGCTCGCTTCAACATTGTATTCATTTCGTCTAGATCGCGTTGTGTTTGAAGTTGATGTTGGATTGTCTGAAGGAATTTTTGTGATTGTAAATAAGCTCGTATGAGATTGTTCAGAATGCGAATAGTACCAAGATATCCTTGCCGATGGAGTAAATAATTCCATAACAGATTGACAAAAGAATTTTGAATTTTATTCAAATAAACAATACTTGCAATGGAAATTGCCGGTAATGTTGGATCAAAATAGCAAAGTAGAGGAGTAGAAAAGAATAGGATTATCAAGCACAGACGCGTAATAACTGGATCGTTGACAATTATCACATCAAGTCTCTGTTTCATAAAGACCCATTGTTCGAATAATGAGACACCGTACGTACACTGAGCGGCTGTACGGTCGAGAACAAGTTGTTTTGGTTCAGAAAAGCAGACTTGTTCAAGTTCGAACGCATTCGGAATAATGAGCGCTGCTGTATTATGTTGACATAAAAAGAATTGCTTTCGACGCGAAAGTGAACGTACAATTGGTACTGAGGAGAGAAATGATAGAACTGAACTGACGCTATTCACACGGGCTGCTGTATGATACCGTAAATAAAATGATTTCTCATCGGTATATTGTATATTTGTAGCAAAGATCTTTTCACGTGTTGCTTTATACTGTTGTACACAGTAATTTTCATATGCATAGAATACATTCGACAAAAGACCCCAGTCTTTTTCATCAAGAGTAGTGCAGGGTGAAAAGATTCCCTAAGAAAACAAAAATGGAAACATTAATTACGGTTTAAGAAGAGATGGATTAGTTTATACTCGTGGTATAATTTGAAAATCCTGTTGATTTTCTTGTAACAAGATAACATCTCGTTTTCGTTCACGATTACTTTGGATAAGTTCTCGATAACGTTGATTCTCTTCGTCTGAACGAATCATTTGAATCTTCATACCAACAAAGAAACATTGACGTAAACGACATGATGTACAATGACGTAGATCCGAACAAATTGCATTGGATTGGCCTTTGAAATGCGATGAACGACAAGCCAGTTTTAAACACTAAATTCTTTCCATAAAAAAAAACGAATTCAAATGAAAGAAATTGCTTACATCAGCTTTTTTAGCATTACGTCGAAAGAACGCTAGTAAACAATCATAGAAGATATTTATTAAATCAAAGATTCGTTTACCTTTACATGGCGAACACGTCAGCACTCCAAAATTTATTCCTATTGCTCTTGCTCCGCACACAGCACATTCGCGAATATTGAGCCACGATTGATATTTACTTAGTTTTGAAGGCATCTGAATTTGTGCTGCTAGAAAAAAGACGTCGTTCTTCTACTAATGATAGAAATATAGGAAAGCTTCTTCTCTTTTTCTTTCCTCACCCTACCTCGCTGACTCGCACATATGACTCTGTAACCGTGCGTGTATTCATCGGAGAAGAGAGAGAGAGGGAGAAAATAAATAGCGAAATGGTTATTCTGTAGCTATAGTTACAAAGGTAAGAGGAAAGTATGTTTAATGTCATTTAACAAGGTAATACAGTACACTATCAAATATAGTGTGGAAAGGTGACATTTTACGTATATTAAGAAAGTTTTTTTTTAATATCACAATGATGATTCATTTTCAGGATTACTATGTTAGTCATTGCTAATCTAGAGAGAAAACCCCGAAGTTTTCCCATCATCCCATCATCTAGAGAGTAGGTACAAACGTTGAATAAACGGTAAAATAAGTACATGTCGCTTGCGACATAATTTCTTCTTCGAAACAAGAGTATTTTTCCATTCTGTTTTTGTCTGAAGTTTCGTTAAAGATGTTTATGGTATTCTGTATATAGAAAAAATGTATTTATGTAGCAGAAATTCTAGAATAAAGAAGATTTGAGATGTTATAAAATGAAATTTGCCCATATTCATATGAACTTCCTTATATGTTCTCAACAATTCTTTCAATATCACTTGACTAATAATAGTTTTTTTCTCATACGAACTTGATAATCTCAATTATCATTGTGCAATTACGGAAGATAAAACGAGCATTTGACTGTTGATTAGCATTTTATTTGAACAAAAGAACAAAGATTGATAAATTTATCGAAAAAAAACCATGTTTACAGGTAACAGATAAAAAGGTCATGAATTTGTTTTCTCTATGAATTACTATTCGTATCAAATATGGCTGCCTGATCGAGCGTTTCGTGTGCAGGCATAAGGTCTCTGTGTGATCTTACATGAATATTAACAAGCAATCCTGCACGTAGCATATTTAAGTAAACGCGCATGAGATTAGAGTAGATCCGCACTGATTCGATGTCTCCGTGACGATGTAACAGATATTTCCACAGGAGAGTGGCATAGGCGTTCTGTCTATCGAATAGTGGTGATGTTTTCTTCAATCGTGACACGGAAGGTTTCGAATCGTAGTAACAAAACAGTGATGTGGAAAAAAAAATGATAATGATCCAAACGCGCGTCACAATCGGATCGGCAATCCAAGTTTTCTCGGCTAATCGCTCGGAATATGCTAATTCTTTGTAAAGTTCTGAACCGCATAAGAATTGCCAAGAAGCTTGATGAACGTCGGACTATAAATGGGCAAATATTTTTTTTTCATCTTGAAATCTGCAAGAAACTTTACCTGCCATCTCTCGGAGAAACAAGATTGATTAAGTTCATAACTGTTGATAAGCATTAGTCGACGCAGATTGTTTCTACACACTGCTATTTGTTCATTTCGTGACAGAGACTGAAACGCAGGCAGTGCGCGCACGAATGACGAAACGGATAATACTAGATTAAATGGCACTAATGTGGAATATTCTGCGATAGATCGTTTCTCATGCATTCCAGTAGGAAACAGCGTCGCTCGTCGTTCAAGGAAAGTTTTTAAACAACAAGTATCGTATGCATAGACAACATTAGATAAATGTTGCCAGTCCAATTCATTCAATAGACTTCCACTACACACGACACGCTAAAATAGAAAATATCATTTAATTTATAAAATATAAAGTAGTTTGTTCGATTATTCATTTTTTCCAGAAACTACTCGATGATATTTGATGAATAATACGCAGCAAACAATTTGGTGGATGTACTGAAACGATCCTGTTTTAAAAGTAGAATGATATTTTTGGCCTAGTCATAGAAACAGAATAAAATGCATTCTGTGCGCTCTAAAGACAACCGGATGACGTCAAATTTCACCGGAGTGCTTCATTGAAATAGCTGAAAGATATAACACATATCGCGCATTATAGAATGTTCTCGTTTATCATTTTCATTAATTTTGTAATTATTGCGTACTTCTGATGTGAAAGTAACGTGACCTGCGCTCGCATTTTCTTTCATGCTTCATCTTGTCAAAAGCTATATTAATGACAAAAGATTAATTAACTTTTCATCTAATCGTTAATCTTCTATGAGGATGTTTTCAGCTCTCATACCTGACATATTGTTGACTTGTCATCTTTCAATTCTTGTTGTTGTTTCAAGAAGAGTCGTCGCTTTCGGTTATTGTCAACAAGCTTTTTATGTCGTTCATTTTCTTCATCTGTACGAACTAGTTCTTCTTTCATTCCAACTTCAAAACATCGTTGCAGACGACATGACGAACACCGGCGAATCTGCATATAATGACTTGTTGCATCGCTTGTTTCGTCTATACTTTTCTTTGATACATTCAATTCCGAATGTTGACAAGGTGAATTAAGGATCTAGTCGATGATAAATATTTCGATAAATAGATAACATCGTTGATATATTGATTTATTTTCTTACTTCTTTCCGTCGGGCATTACGTCGAAAGAAAGCTATTAGGCAATCACAGGAGAAATGCGAGAAGAAACTGATGATTCAATTTACCTTTACAAGGTGCGCACGTCGGTGCACCGAAATTTATACCAATTGCTTTCGAACCACAGATAATGCATTCTCGCGTGGAATATGATGATCGACGATGGTACTGTTCAACTGTACTATTCATCGCTATCTCCTACAAAATAAAATTTCATCAGATTCCACTCGTTCAACTTTATAGAAATAGAATTGTTTTTTATCATCATTGTTGAAGAATACCTGATTTCGAACTCTTGAAAAAATCAATTAGAACATGAAGGACAATATGAGTTCAACGATTTCCTCTTCGAAAAACGTATGACATTGTATGCTTTTTTTGTTTCCTGTACTTTTTATTTAACTCGAAAAATGATGAGTGTGTTATTGTGATGACCGTCTTAACAACATTTACTCTCTATACATGGGTTTAAAGAAAAGAAGAGAGGCGATACAAGAAAAACATGGATAAACAATCAAATACGGTCAGCTGGTTGAGTTGTCATTGAGAAGACTAAAACTATGGATATAGTTATCTTAGTTAGTACTGAACTGTATCAGATAGTCGAAAGAACTTCAACGTTCATTGTCTAGAAAAGATGTTTATCTTTTTCCAGGTCGACCATCTGACATGTGCTTGAAGAATGCCATCGGGGTATATGAAGTTAGAGTGCATCAAGGATATATATATATAATACACCGGTACTCGTTGTTGCAAAGTACAATAACTGTTCTAACATTTATATTTAGTATTCGAGATCGATTTTTGTAAGAAATGTTGTTATTTACCCGCCGTCAGTAACGTACTGTATGACTTATGTGTATTTACACTTGTAATCGAAGGTTTTACTTAGCTGACGTGCGAAAGAAAAATATTAGTTGTATTCTAACAAAGACAAAAGCAGATTTAAATTACTTTCAAATAGAATGTTTTAACCGTCATTAATTATAGAGAAAAATGTATAAAAACCACTAAAAAAATTACCGCGAGTTCACTGTGACCGACAGCATATGCTAGATCCATAGTAATAGGTTAATTTGATCAAATCAAAATAATGTCATTGATTGTCGACGTCGTTGAATATGTTTGACTAAATGAAAAGAGAAAAACTTCAGATTTTCTTTCTCTTGTATTACAGAACATGAATTACGTCTTTTTTCTTTCTGATGGTGCAATCGAGTAAAGTGACGATAAATATAAGCGGGAATAATACAAAACAACAAACTATTTTGTTTCGCGTATAATATCGATATGAAAAAAGACAATGTTGTGTTTGTTTATGTCGTTTTTACATTGAAATCTGTCTGAGGCTTTAGAACATATTGTTACCGCTTGATCCTTTCTTTCCGCACGCGAAAAACAAAAATAGAAAAGGTTATCTACAGATATAAAACCTTTCGTCTCGCGCTTAAGAAAAAATAAAGATTTTCCTCGTCGTCATTCGTCTCCCTTACTATGAAAAGCCATCACTTGTTCTCATTTGTTCTATTTTTTTTTCAAAGACACACAGACTTTCTCCAAGAAAGAATGAATCGACGATTGTAAGGGTTCACAGGGGTTGGAAATTGTTAAAAGTACAACCCACAACATCTATGTTATTAGATTGACTACAGGGCGTTGTCGAGCAAAATATTTCATACGCGGGCTTGTTTTTCCTCTTTCCTGGCTCTCAAAGAAATATAACAAAAACGATCTCATCATCAATGGATGCACAAAAAAAGGAATTCAAATTATTTCAACGAGGCGTACTTCTCAAAGTAAGTAAAGAAACAGAATGTCTCCTGTTAGACTTTGTACTCGTGAATATACTTTTTATATGCTACTCTAGTCTACGACGATAGGTGAAAGAAGCAAAGAAAAAGAAAAACGTCCGTACATCAGCGACGAATAACCTTGTTTTTCTGTCATTGCAAAAATTACACGTTTCTCTAATGAAATGTGTTTTGGACGGATTTTTCTGTCTGTTACACCATTATTATCTTTTATCTGGACATTTCTGTGTCATGAGCAGTAGGCTGAACTGAAATGATTGATTGATTCATGAAATTCTACAGCATGTCACCAATATTTTACTTTTTCACGCCGAGAACCCATGCTGATGAATCAATTCCCTATTGGAACACAAAACATGTCGATCCCGAGTTTTGTTCTTTTCTTGAAAATGTGATATAACAAAATAATAGGCGACCTTGACAGGCGCGGAAGGTTATCGAGTAGAGAAGGTAATTTTAATGCTCTACTTGGAGTGGCATGAAATGTTATTTGGTGTTGTTTAATTATTAGTTTCATCTGATTCATGTTGATGGTATAAATAGAAATTTTTCATCAGTACGAACGAGATTCACAATGTCAAAGCAAGTAATCCGAGAACTATGAGTGAATGCAAGTACAAAAATAATCGTGTATGTTGACAGGCTTCGTACTTTTTCCTGTCGTTGAGGTCACTGATGAGTATTAACAAACTGAATCATCACTGAAGAAGCTGTTGAATAAATGATCGTACTCGTGCTATTTGTGAATAAGTGAAACAATATAGAATATCTTCTACTTAGAGAAGGTTACTTGGAACGAAATATTGTCAATCAAATTGTGTCGTCTGCAATAGATTGTCGTCTTCAATTTGAATCTGAATAAAGTCGAATAATGAATAGATACATACTGTACATGATTGATGTAAAAATCGTCATAAACGATTAACATTTGTCATATTATACAAGCGAGATTCAAAAGATCATTCTACTTCGTATTATGATTTCATCTAATATTACATTATCTGAAGACCAGTAATTAAAATTAAATAATCTATCAGATTAAGACTCGCATAAAGATAAGATAGATTTGTCCAAAGCAAATACCAACTTGATGCGAGCATGAAGTGCATTTAAATGACATTTGAACAGAGGTATATACAAATAAAATTACACCTAGAAGTCGCGCGAGGATATGAATTTGTTAAATAAAGGCTTTTACAGTTGACAGATACCGCCAGAGGTATATTTTTTACTCTCATTCGTATTCTGGAATGTATATCGGACAATCTCTTGAGGAATTCGCAGGGTTTTATTTGGTGATTATTCTAAGTTCGAGACATTATTTCAATCATTCTTGTTGATTATGAAGCGGGAGAAAATAGTATTTATGAATTTTAACCTCGTGATAACATCAGCGAAATGCGTACCTACTTGAGACAAACTTGTTTTTATTAAACTAGTATTTGACCATCATAAAATTGACGCTGATGTGATAACAAGAAGCTACATACATGTTGAGATCGTATGATAATCATTCGTTTATGTCATAATTATTAATAGCAGTGAATATCTTCTTTCAATTTAAAACGATTTTCGCAACTGAGTGTGACAAAATTAGAAAATGTTGTTTACAGAAGATAATATTCTCGAACATCAGTATATTGTTTTTATTGATCTAAAAGACAATCATTAGAGCCTGAATTCACAACTACAACGCAGCTTTGACTTGATGTGCAATTAGAGCGATGTTAGAGAAAAGTATAAAAAGAAAACAAAATCTACTCACATATATTCGAGTACTTTTCGTTTTTTATCTAGACGCCGTTTTGCCTTGCATATGTCATCAATATTATACGAATTTCATCAAATGTTTACAATAAATAATCCTTTAATAACTAGTTGTCTTGCACTAAAAGTTCCTTCATTCAATGGATGGCTAAGTGTCACCATCATTGGACAAGAACAAACTAACGCAACTATAACACAAATACACGGACAACTTTTATTTACCTTAAGATTAAAAGACACTACAAGCTTTTTCACTTTTGAAATGACGCTTCAATTGTTTATCATCGTCCTAACTGATTTGAACCTCATGAACATCTATTGCGACTAGTTTGTTCAGTGTTTCATTCGTCGGCATCAAGTTCTTCTGTGTTGCCAGCCGAGTGTAGATTCCGAATCCCACCGTCTGCATTTTTATATATACATGAACCAAGTGTGTATAGATTCGAACTGTCTCCATCGAACCATACCGATATGAGAGATACTTCCACAGGAGAGTGATGTATGCATTTTGAGTGTCAGTGACAGGTCGCTTCTTCTTAAGAACTTTTGTTGGTGTTGCACTGTCCTGGTGATAATGAAGAGGAGTGGAGAAGAATAGAATGATGAAAAACAGGCGGATCGCAATCGGATCAGTGACTAAACTCTTTGAGGCTAATAGTTCTGCTTGCTGAAATTGTGGATAAAGCTGTGGACCACACATAATTCGCCAAGTACCTTCGAGGACGTCCATCTGGAAACAGATGACTATACATATGAATGTGTGACAGAGAAAGAATGACTAGCGTCTTACCTGCCACGGCTCGTGGTAACAACATTGTTGAAGTTCATGGATATTTGGGAAGATCAAAGGTCGAATATTTGTTTTGCAAAGGTAATTACGAATAACTCGCGGGAGAGAATAAAAAGCTGGTAATGACTTGAGAAAGGATGAAACCGATAGAACGATACTCATAGCAGCAGAGGTTGGACAAACACTGTTCAATTGAGGATCAGATTTTGTTGACGCATGATCTTTAAATATGACACTTGTGCGTTGCCGAACATAGGTTTGAATACAGCATGAATTATATGCATAGACAATGTTCGAGAGATGAGTCCAGTCTATTTCGTGTGACAGTTCCGCATTGGCGAAAATACACTAAGACAAAACGAGAAATGAAAACAAGATTGACTGCATTTCAATATTTCTTAATGATATGATGGCTAATATTCTTTGCGCATACCAATCTACAATTCATGGTTTCCTACAACGTAACCTTCAAAACAAGCGTGTTAATATGCGCTTTTGCTCCTCTTAACGGACGACTAACGCGATGAAGAAGAGATAGGTGTTTCAAAAGATAAAGATCTCACGGACACGCTCTGTTGTCACGGCGAGAAATATGTCACTACGAAGCAAACTCTACATCGCTGAGTATATATTCATACTTAATCTCTTGGATATCAACCTCTTTAAGATGAGAATTCATTTAAGTACTCATACTTACCTGAGGAATAGGCAATGCTTTCATTTCCAGTAGTTGTTGTCGCAATAATTCTCGTCTTTGTCGATTTATATCGACTAATTGCTTATATCGTTCATTTTCTTCATCCGTTCGCACCAGTTCTTCTTTCATACCCATCTCAAAACTTCGACGCAACCGACATGATGAACATCGACGAATTTGTAGATAACGCATTGATCTTCCATTCGCTTCATTCTCATTTTCCAACAGACTACTCAGATCACGGTGTCGACACGGTAGTTCCAGAAGCTATAACAAACATAATTATTTTCTCGCACAAACATCCGTCTTCTTCGCTTTGCCTTACTTCCTTTCGTCTTGCATTTCGTCGGAAAAAGGCTATTGTAAAACAAAAGAAGTGTAATCATCGTCGCTGAAAATGAGTCGAAGGAAAGAAGTGACAAATGAGGATACCTTTACAAGGAGCACAAGATTGAACACCGAAGTTTATTCCAATTGACTTTGAACCACAGACGACGCATCGTCGAAACGAAGTAGGTGACCTGGATCCGCAGTAGTGTGTGCTAGTAGTCATTGATTCAAGTGCCTTGCTCTAAAAACTCAAGATCACTAGGTTTGTTTCCATAGAATCCGATCACGTAGCGTCTATAGTATTTATTATTCGATAATACTGACAACGATGTGATAATTATATAGTAAATAAACTAATTATATTATTCAAAGTTCGATAAACTTAAGAAGAGTAAACGTTGCGTCTTAAAGGAAACAAATGTACCTTGAATTCTGAGAAAAATTGTTTCAGGATGGCACGTACACAGTGTGAAAATTGTCTCAGGTAATCACACGGTCGAATGACGACAAAAGTGTCGTGTTTAATCTTCGAAATATAATTGACTAGCCAACATACATTACTCTCGTATCAAACGAATTATTCTTTCATTGATACGCATCGCACTAATCACTACATCGCTTTATTTTTAACATTCAAACATATTTATTCTAATGGTGTTTAACATTTTCGACTTAATTGTGAACATATTTGATCTTTGCTTTCCTCTCTCTCTTTCTTTCGTTCTTTTTCTCTTTTCTCCAACTATCAACATGAATGCGTCCGAAATACAAAACTAACTAAGCATGACCGACGCATTACAATCGACTAGGACATATATAGACATAAGGACAAACAAGAACACATCCGTGTAAAATAGTTACTGGAACATCTATCACACTTTTTTCAGAAAACATCGCAGACGACGCAAGTTGGTTTAGAGACAATATTAGTAACGCATATATTTTATTGCATTCATACATGCTTATCTAAACATGCTTTACACTCAAAATCAAGATAAACTTCACTTTCGAAACAAATATTTTCAACAGGAAACGTTAACTTTCATTTTCATCATTTTTTCTGTACTCGAGACTTTAAATACTTACCGTGAGAGCATTAGCCATTGTGTCATCAGAGAAAATCATTATTTCATTGACTAGTTGTCGAATGCACGTCGATAGATTATTGTTGATTAATAACTTTTCTACAAGTAATAAAACAGAAACAAGTGCAACTAGGGAAAATGTTTACAATTAGGAAGTTAACATTCTTCTTTTGCTTACAAAGAAAAAATCCAACAAAGCGGATTACTTCTTCTAGATACACGTGTGAATGAAAGGAAGGACGAGTGAAAATCCAAGGAACGAGAAAAAAAACGTTTGTACGTTTCTATCATAGATAAACTTATCTTCGGTACCCATGCTCGAAAAAGAAGAAAATAATGTACGTGCCAAGCATAGAATCTACCCTAACATATGTTATTGACGGGCAAACACGAATGAAAAGAAAAAGCAAATACGATATCAACGTTGTTCTAACAGGAAGACGACACTTGTGATAGACATGACTTAGCTCGGTTTTTTTAACATAGATATAGAAGAAATGATTAACAAAACATATCTTCTATGTTCGAAGAAACGTTCATGATTTTTTGATAGAACGATTAGTTTGTTCTAAATTCATTCGCGTTGTGAAGTTCGAATTTACTATCTATGACATATTAGATATATGCCTTACAATTCGATATGGACCGTGAGGTACATTCTGTTCTTCTCGAACAGAAAATAGTAAGGAATTTAATACATACGTGGCAGTTCGTCTTAACGTTTCGGCGTGTTTCATCATATAGAAATAAGCGCTCGTTACAATCTAACTATTCTGTCTAATGACAAGGGATACTTTATCGGCGCCTGTTTGTTCTCCCTTCTCGTTTTTCTTAATTTACTTGAGCTACATTGTGTATACTGTTATCATGAAGATAGAAACTATTCGTGGATGCATTTTAACAAGGGAAACTTCTATTTTGATGCTAGAATAAAAGAATTTAACAAAGAATAATATTCTTCTTTTTTCTCGAATAAATAATTTTTAAAAAATCGATGGGTTGATAATACTGACGGAGCGTTAACTAATATTTATCAACACGTGCGGCCTATATGCCATATCTATCAACGAGAAAGACAGAGAAAGCATTCTCGTCCATTTATGAATGTGGAGAGTATGTATGTCACACCAGGCGTGGCGTTCGTTCCATGTCAAAACGTTGTTCAATCGCTTTTCAGAAGTAGATTTATGTTTTGCAACTCTAAACAAATCGTGTTAAATCTTTCCAAAGATCGACATGCACTTAGTTTATTGCTAAAGATAACAAAGTTCTTAGTTTTTATTTCATTGGTAAGAAGCAGTATATACAACATCTGAGTGACAACAAGTCTTGTTTGAGGCATTTGTAGTCTTCAAAGAAAAAACACAAAATTTAATCATAATTCTTCGAAGTTTATGTTTTTATTGGCTCTCATTAACCTCTATTGCGACTAGTTTATTCAGTGTTTCATTCGTCGGCATCAAGTTCTTTTGCGTTGTCAGATGAGTGTAGATTCCGAATCCCACCGTCTGCATTTTTATATATACATGAACCAAGTGTGTATAGATTCGAACTGTCTCCATCGAACCATACCGATATGAGAGATACTTCCACAGGAGAGTGATGTATGCATTTTGAGTGTTAGTGACAGGTCGCTTCTTCTTAAGAACTTTTGTTGGTGTTGCACTGTCTTGGTGATAATGAAGAGGAGTGGAGAAGAATAGAATGATGAAAAACAGGCGGGTCGCGATCGGATCAGTGACTAAACTCTTTGAGGCTAATAGTTCTGCTTGCTGAAATTGTGGATAAAGCTGTGGACCACACATCAGTTGCCAGGTTGCTTTGAAAACAGCTGCCTGTATACAGATTAGTGTGCATACAAAAGCGAAAATAATTAGCGTCTTACCTGCCACGGCTCGTGGTAACAACATTGTTGAAGTTCATAGATATTTGGGAAGATCAAAGGTCGAATATTTGTTTTGCAAAGGTAATTACGAATAACTCGCGGGAGAGAATAAAAAGCTGGTAATGACTTGAGAAAGGATGAGACCGATAGAACGATACTCGTTGTAACAACTGTAGGATAAATATTGATTGATTGATTATCTGAAACACTTGATGTTCCATTGAAAATTGTTGCTGTACGTTGTCGGACATAAGATTTGACACAACATGAATCGTATGCATAAGAAATATTTGAGAGATGTGACCAATCGATCTCTGCCAACAAGTCAATATCATTGATTATGTACTGGAAAAAAAATTCGAAAAATTGATATTCAGTTTGTTTTGTTCTTCAAGGTTAGCTCTCGGTACATTTTCGATATGACCTTTTTGTGCAACTTGACATAGGCTCTGTTAGAGGCGTTGAAAAACAATCTTTTAATAGGAATGTTTCAGGACATTTGCTTCGTTTCAGCACAAATATATGTAATTAAAAAGAATGGGCGACAGTATTGGTGTTACTGACGAATGTCTCAAATAATTGCATTCGCACTAAACACGCCATTTTCATTAGCTGATTCATTTTATCCTATGAGAGGCATATTGAATGTAATGGATCGGAAGCTAACGTTTTGTTCAATACGAACAAAAGACTTCTTTTGAGATTAGAAAAAGAGTAATATACGCTCGTATCGAGAGACATTAATTAGGTAACTAGTAGAAAATTAGCTATATAATGTAAAATGAGTCTATGGATGAATATAATTATTATATAGGGAAAAGTAGGCTAAATGACGTCTTCAATCCTAGAAATGACCACGCAAATATCATGATAGCAGATAAATCTACTGAGTAGTGGATGACACAAGTAGAACTGAATTCACCGAGCGTGTATACATATATCATTCTAAGCAGAGGCGTGAGCGAATCTTTCCTTTTTTTATGCAAGAATGATCCCAGAGAAAATGCCAATTTCAACTTGGATCTCAGAGCGTATTACGATTTCTACTTTCACCAACAGCTAGGCAGCTTAGACGTAGACAGAATCCTATTATAGTAGTCTCAATCTCAATGCTTGAATAAATTTTTATCTATATTCCCAAAGAAACATACCCGCGGAACAGATATTTCTTTAATTTCCTGAAGCTGTTTTTTCAACAATTCTCGTTGTCGTCGATTTACATCAAGCATTTGTCTGTACCGTTCATTTTCTTCATCCGTCCGCACCAGTTCTTCTTTCATACCCATCTCAAAACTTCGACGCAACCGACATGATGAACATCGACGAATTTGTAGATAACGCATTGACCTTCCATTCGCTTCATTCTCATTTTCCAACAGACTACTCAGATCACGGTGTCGACACGGTAGTTCCAGAAGCTACAACAAACATAATTATCTTCTCGCACAAACATCCGTCTTCTTCGCTTTGTCTTACTTCCTTTCGTCTTGCATTTCGTCGGAAAAAGGCTATTGTAAAACAAAAGAAGTGTAATCATCGTCGCTGAAAATGAGTCGAAGAAATGAAGTGACAAATGAGAATACCTTTACAAGGAGCACAAGATTGAACACCGAAGTTTATTCCAATTGACTTTGAACCACAGACGACGCATCGTCGAAACGAAGTAGGTGATCTGGATTCGCAGTAGTGTGTGCTAGTAGTCATTGATTCAAGTGCGTTGCTCTAAATAACACGGGAAATCAGAAAAGATCGCATTTTATTCATAAGATATCTTTCAGAGTTCAAATTCTTCTCTCTAAAGATTATTTCGACATCTGGATATATGCACTCCGTAGTTGTTCCCTTTGACTAAATATACTAATGAAGATTTCGATGCATTCGACTCAATAGAATTTGTGAAAGCAACCGGCGTGTGACAATCTCATTAATCGTATTAATAGATGCGTTACTAGAAAACTCCTTGTGACACAATGCTAAAGACAACATAAAAAGGATTAACTGCAAGAGAAAACTCTCAGGTTATTGATAAAGCGAAAAAAAAACAAATTAATATGAAACAGCATATTTTTGAACGGCTTGTTTCCAAGCAAATAGGGAGTGACATGAGCGGAAATGTATGTTTTCATGCATCATGATTTATGTAATGAGCTTTCAGGACCAACGGCTTATAAGTAATATTTTTTCTTTGGACTATTCAGATAACGTTTTTCTTGCTCAAGAATTCAATTTCGGTGCGGGTTTTTTTTAGAGATCAACACTCTGCCGGAACCATTTTCAAAACACTAGTTGATTAGAAGATTATCAAATAATTTGCTGAATGATGTTACCGTTCGAAACTTATGCTAACGAATATTCACGAATCTTACCATTTCAGTTTGACCGCCCAAAGTGATCGTTGAATTTGGGACAGACGATTAGGTATGAATAATGATTTTCGATACTAAAAACGAAAAAAAACAAAGCATTATCTTCCTTCTTGATTCCTCTCTTTTCTCCTCCTTTCATTGTAGTATAGAGTATATCCACAAGGGTCAAAAAAACATCCTTACACATAGGCATAGCAGAAACAAAATGCATTGATCTATGTTTTCTATCTAAATGAATATGAACGGTTGCAGCGTTATAAACACGCAGTGCATGTCGAATCGATAATCAGAAGAAAACAATCAATTTCTCATGAAATATTGGATGTATTCATCTAATTTCCGAGGAACAGCTTAAATAGTACCTGTCAATTTTCAAAACATAGAAAATCGAAGAAACAACTATCAATCTATCTAATTTGACATCAGAAAACTAATGTTTTAGGTCTGCAGAAAGCCAATTGCCGTTGTCGTTGATTGTTTGCCTGGTAATTACATGCCACTCCTTATGAGTTTTATATTCCCATGTGCATACAAGGGATTCTAACAAAAAACCATCGAGAAAAATACGTTTCATTTTTTTGTTTGTCATCACTACTCCATAATAATTGGTGACATCAAGTGCCAAAAGGTGTGCCGTAAGGAACATGCAACTACGCTGAATCTCGTAATTTCCGATCTAAACGGTGAGGAAAAATCCTATTACGATGAAAGCAGATACTCTCTTTTCAACATCTTGAACATGCTTATGTACCCATTGTGTCTGATAAAATGTAGAAAGTATAATTTTAAGAACATGTCTATAATGCTGAACATTCGGCTTTTATTTTCTAAATGAAAAACCGTGGTCCGCACGTGAAAATGTTTTTGATACGGATGATTGTAACATTCTTTAGAATTACCTCTACTAAACAATGCAAGTAAAATCATTGAAAAAGGCCTATTTCATCTGAATAAACCCATCGGTTTTATGATGAACAGAAAGGAAATTTATTCTCATCTACTCAAACTATTTCACTCACTTCGTTTTCTTTCCTATTCGATCAGCGAACTTGTAAAGCAATGAAAGCATTTTGTTGTTCAAAAAAATATACATACTCAAGCATTGATAGTTACTTTAGATGAGGAAAAAAGTAAAAATGCGCCTCTCACCTAACGAAGCAACGCTTACTCTTTGCACGTTTCATTATAAAGTAGCAACATGTTTGATGTAGTGCTTCGCCAACCACTCTTTTCCCCTTGATTATTCTGTGTTCTTGTCAACTAATCACATAGGAGGCGTGCTTTTCGATATTTTATCCGTTTTTATGATGACACCTCCGTTCACTTTTTATCCACATTTGGTTATACAGCTAATAAAGCTGTAAATAAAAGCGAACAGGCTGTACCGAAAATAAGTTCATAGTAAGAAATAGAAAAATATCTCTTAAGTTTGATTTGTTCTGGTTGACTTTACTGAGAAAATAACATAATCCTGTAACAAAAATTTTTATCAAAACAATGATATTACTGTATACTTATCTGTACAAGAGCATTAATAACAAATGTGGACTAGTGGAATCATGTCAAAAGCAAATGTAATGGTGTTTCACCTGTTTATACAACATGACATTTGTGCTACTCATTACTGATTCGATTGACGGATTATAATAGTATTTCTCGACTAGTTCATACAAAATATGCTGCTCTTTCGGTATAAATAAATTATTTCAATTAAATAATGATATTGACATCGTACGTTTCTCAAATAGGATAGCTTTGTCGTTCCAAACTTTGGATTGCACTTGAACTCATACAAAATAGTATACTCGATTCTGATTACGAATCTCTTCGGAATCCTTGATTTGTTAATTGTGACAAGAATAGGATAAGATTAAGTTACATTCTGTCCTTTTCTACTGAATATGCAAAGCTTGGAGAAAACGGTAACTAGATTAAATGAGTTTTATTCTACTAGAAAAACGTGCACAGTAATGAACGGATCAAAAGTTCACGAACGAAAGAGTATAGTTAGGTGAAAGATTTCGGCAACACTGAGTCAACAGGCACATATGCAAATGACTGATAAAACTAAACGGAGAGACACGCTTTGCTATCTCTTGTCTTCTTACCTGAAACCAAATGACTATTTTAAAGCGAATTCTAATGTTCTCAACTCATGCGTTGATATACTTCGTACGAACTGGAATGTAATGTCTAACTGTGTTGGTCACTTTTTTGCAAATGATTTTTATTAGATGCTTCTATAAAGAATTATTATCAAAAAACAAATAGATGATATCGAGATAAAGCAAGAATATTCATATGAGAATTGCAGTACCAAAGATCTTGCGGCTGTCATCCTTTAGCGAATATTCTAGTTAAGAATCGAGAAGAAGAAAGGTTGTCTTACTTCAAACATGTTCTAAACTACTTTTCTGTTGTACCCAACACACATCTGGTACGTGTGTAGATAAGCTACAAAATACGATTAATGTTTTAAAAATAAATTTACACATTCTTTTGTGTTAGAAACTGAAAATCCGGTTTGCATTTTGTTAATCGCCATTAAGACAATGCAAGAAAGATAAGCATCGGAATGAGATGATGCTTGTAATTGAAGATGGAAAAACTCTCGAATTAATTATTTTACCTCAGAAAATTCTACCATGCATTGCCATGCCCTTAGTGGTCTTTCCTCGCATATTCTTTTTTGTATCCATTACAGAGAGTTTTGAACTTTTCTCTCCCTCGCGCGTATAGTTTTATCTTTCTTTTCAATGATGATGTTTTCTTCGCGATCAACCGTCACTCGCCCTCAAAATAATATACAGACTCAGAACGTGCTTACGTTCTCTTCAAAGTAAACATCGTACATGTTTACGCAAAATAATGCTTGATGTTGATTGAGAAAAGAATAGAGTTCCAATAGTGATACACACAAAAAGGTCATTTTGAACGTTTTCATACAACTCGCAAATGCGATCATAAGATTGAGATATGATTCGAAGATACTATTGTACTTCGAGTAAAAATTAATAATATTGCGAAGCTTATTGCTTCTCTTCGCGTTGTTTATAACGATCACAACGTTTTTATCAGGTTTGAATTGTACTAATAGCTTTTCATCAAACTCCCTCTATGTAAATCGTCTTTATCTACGGCTTGAATATATCTTGTCAATACATCATTAACAAAAATTAAGAAGCAATTATAACCTTACTAACCATCAGCACGCAGAATCTTCTTTCCCAGACGCGAATTTACTTATCAGGCAAATATAATTTGCAACGAGCCGAAAGTTGTTTATAAAACTTCTCTCTGTTACATTCCGCTGAAGTCTTGTATTGATATCTCGATAAGATGAGTACGGCTATTCATGCAGTTCGATATTGTATGATATGATCAATATCAGATAAGGAAACACAACTGATGTTTACTTCGCATAATGTGTTCGAATCAATGGACAAATGTCTATTTATTCATTCATCAGACAAAACTAACAAAAAGAATCCTTTTTTTTCTCCGAATAGAATTGATCAACAGAATTCAAAGTCTATACATAGTTAATATACAATTGAAATTCAACAAGAGGAAATAGATCACCGGATTGTCTAAAACCAGATAACTAAAATAGATTGCAAAGAATATGGAATGTACTCATGGTTCACGTAGAAGGACGGTTTACCTGAACATGATATCTGAATCGAGACGATTATAAGGAAAATCCTTTCTATTTTAGAGTCTGGCAATACTGTTATTGATCGACTAAACAAAGAAAGAGACAAAGTAGCAGTTCTATCGTGAAAGATAATATTTACTGCATACTATTTTAGGGTTTCGTTTGTTATTCATTTTAGTCGTTTCATTGAATTGACTCAACGTCGTTGACTCATCATCAGGGTCATCGGAATCTCTACAAGTGAAAACAGTCGTCCAACATAATTCGAAGGACAGAGATAGATTATTTACGGTGTTCGGATTGTCACAGTTGCACGATGCTGTAAATGCCGACGATGAGCGTATGCCGGATGATCTAACGAAGCGCTTCGTTGCTTCATTTCAGCTAAATTACATCAAATGAGTTATTCAATTAAGTTATAATACCATTAACACACCTCGACGTTGTTCTGTTTGTTGTGTAACACAACTTTTTATTGTATCGATCCATTTAACACTTGTTTCCTCGGCTTTGTCTCCGTTGGAAGAGTTATTTGGAAGCTAAACAACAAAACTTGTCATCATATTCATTAAAAAGGTCTAACATACTTGAATAATATATGACCAATCTTTGAGTAAAAGTTCAAACTTATTTCGATCATTTTTCGGGTGTGTACAAACGGCAATGTCGATAATCTAAAC